CCAACCCAACGGGTTGGACGGGTTAACCCACCCATGCGACACCTCTGATTACAACTGACTAGATTTCCGTCAGGTTTTTAAGTAAAATTTCCGTGAAGCTTACTGCCCAAGTCTACCACCTACTTTCACCTATTTCTGAGCTCGCAAGTCTACCCACCACGATAATTCGGGCGTCCTAAAACGATTCATCATGGCCAGAAAGCTCGGCAACAATCATCCTTTCCACAAGGCAAAAACAAGGAACTCAATGGACATAACAGCAGTATTCCCAGTCCGACAATTATGGTACCATTCCAGCCTCTTCCGCTCATTATCACCGTTGTTTCAGCGCTGAATCAGCCAACAAAAAAGGGTGGGTGGGTGTGGGTGTGTGGGTGTGGGTGTGGGTGTGGATGTGGGTGTGGGTGTAGGTGTGGGTGTTGGTGTGGGTGTGGGTGTGTGAGGGTATGGGTGCGGGTGCGGGTGTGGGTGTGGATGTGGGTGTGGGTGTGGGTGTGGGTGTGGGTGTGGGTGTGGGTGTGGGTGCGGGTGTGGGTGTGGGTGTGTGCGGGTGCCGGTGTGGATGCGGGTGTGGGTGCGGGTGTGATTAAGGTGCCTTTTCACTTCCACATCCACATCCACACCCGGCAACGGTTGATAGATTTATATAAGTAGACCGCGGGAACGTAGCCGCCTTCCGCGGCATAACGCTTATGTCTGTTTTCTTTAGCACATAGATATTTCAGTTGTTGAAACTACCTCAAAAAGTCGAGAAGTGAAAAAGCCAAGTCGAGAGTGTGGGTGGTGGGTGTGATTGCGGAAAAGACCCACATCCTCAAGTGGTCATCCACAGTTTTAGAAAATAATTTAGTCTGTTCAATCGACCTATCCATAGAAGAATTTATGATAATCTACATGGAGCAGAACAGAGAAAATTATATGGAAACTGCATTATGCTGAGCTATGCTGATTATCTCTAATAAAAAAGACAATTACGAATTTAAAGGAATTTTCTTTAGAACACAGTTAAATTGTTAGAATCTAGCATGTTTCATTGGTATTTTATTAAAATGACGAAGTAGTGCAATCAAAGTTAGTTGATATTCGACAAATCGACTATCGTAGACAATACAATTAAAAGCTTTTTTGATATTTGCTGAGTAGAGCATCGAGACAAACAGTAATAAATTGTTTATTTCTTTTTTCTAGTGCGAGTGAAGACGGTGTGTGAGCAAAGGTCTTCTCCTTGTCTACATACTGATCCACCCCGACTTACACTACTAAAAAGATGGCTTTCTTCAATTCGGCTATTTCAGAAAGTTTACTTTTGTCCTTCTTAGACGGATTGCAGTCGTTCACAGAGACTTTCTTCAGTGATCGATTGTGTTTGAGCATTTCGATTACAGATTTGACGCTCGCATCACTCACTGAACTATTTCCATTTAGAGAAAGCTCTTCAAGACTATTATTGTGATGAGTTAATGTATTAGCAAGCATTTGCACTCCTCGATCGCCTATGAAACTATTCGATACACCAAGCACAGCCAATGTCATATTTGTTTTAAGCATATTAGCCAAATGTTGTATGCCGTCATCACTAATATTATTCCAGTCAAGTCCAGGAACTGAGAGGCTAGACATATTCTCTGAAAGTGATTTTGCCAAAATTTGCACGTTCGTATCAGTTAGATTTGTTTGATAAAGATGAAGTGTCTTCAGTTTTGTGATATTGTGTAATGCATCGGCTAGTAATGAGGTACCGATAGTGGCGGAGCCAGGGCGGGGCTGGGGGGGGGGGGCTGAGCCCCTCCCAGAAACTTTTGAGCCCCCTCCAGAAATATTTGAACCGCTTCAAAAATGAAAATTGTCGGGTCTAATTATGTTATGAAGTGAGATCCGAAATCAAGTGCAATGTGAATAAAAAAGTTTATTCTTAACTGTCCGATACATTTAGCCTAGTGTATATAACAGATCGATTTTTTTTCTTTTTTTCAATTTGGCGTGACTATTGTTCTTTGTACAATTGCTCAACACGTCTGGTGTGATCATCATTCTTTGTACGATTGTTCAACATATGATCCTATGTACATATAAATACACACACTTTTTCATTTTTGTGATGATAAACTGAGTAACCAGTGCTAACAGAATATCACTGATTTCTACAGAGACAATTATTTTTTTAAGAATTGAAATCTATTCACATTTTTTCATGGATAATAATAAACGTAGAACATCATCAATCGATTCTTATTTTTCTGTACAAAAGAAAACAAAATCTCAAGATGATGCATTAAATTACGTCGACGTTAACAATGACTCTATTGTTTCTACATCTTCACCAACATCTTCATCTTTAATTTCGATACCTGTCCATGATGTTGCATTGGGGAATTTAAATAATATTAACAATTCTGTACAGAATAATCCGGTAGTTGATGATATTAGTCGTTCACATATTGATCCACCATGTCAACCAATATTGGACAAATATCCAATAAATGAAGATAATCGTTCTTTTCAAGCCCGTTGGTATCATGAAAGACCTTGGCTTGAATATTCAAAAAAAACTGATTCTGTATTTTGTTATAATTGTCGTCATTTTGGCGATACCACAGCACCAAAACGAAAAAAAGACGATGTTTTTGTTATTGGTGGTTTTCGAAAATGGAAATGTGCTCTTGAGAAAACAAAGGGTTTTGATCAACACATTAAAAGTCAAAATCATATTATTGCAACAACGAATTATTTATCTTATCAACAACGTATTAAAACAAACCAAACAGTTATAGACATTTTAGATTCAGGTCGTATTCAACATATTCGTCAAAACAGAACTCGTTTGATAAAGATTGCATCTCTTTTATTATTATGTTGTCGCCAAATGATTCCTATTCGTGGTCATAATGAAAACGAAAAGTAAGCGTTAATTTTTCTGAAGCATAGTTTCATTTATTTATTTATCTAGCTCATCAAATCGTGGTAATCTATTAGAAATATTACGCTGGTCTTCTGATGTTGATCCAATAAGTAAAGCTGTTTTAGAAGATTCAGCACAAAATGCGACTTATTTATCCCATCACATTCAGAACGAACTTATTGGTATTATGGCAAATACAGTTCGTGAACAAATCAGTAACTTAGTAATTAATTTTTTTGTAATTCTCCATCAAGAGATCAATAGTTACTAAAATTTTTATCTTTAGATTAGAGGAAAATATTTTGCTTTAATAGCTGATGAATCTCGTGACGTTAGTGGTCATGAACAACTCTCGATTGTCATTCGAATAGTAAATGATCCATCTGATAATAATAATGATATAATTAAAGAGTATTTTATGGGATTTGTGCGTCTGCATCAATTCGATGCAGAAAGTTTATCATTAGAAATAGTAAAATTTTTACAGCAACATAATATTCCATTGGATTTATGTATAGCTCAGTGTTATGACGGGTAGGAAAGATCTTTTAAATTTAAATTGAATTTTTGATCTTATATTTTTTTTCAGAGCAAGTGTGATGTCCGGTAAATTTGCTGGGTTGCAAACAATCATGCGTGAAAAATATATGCCCAAAGGAGTATATATTCATTGTTTTACACATCGATTGAACTTAGTGGTAGTGGACGTTTGCAAAGTGGTGCATTACATAGATGAATTTTATGCTATTATGTCTTTAATTTATTCATTTTTTACTTGCTCTACAGTTTCTAATGAATTTTTTCAAAAAGCACAACAAACATTGAAATTAAGTAAATATATTTCTTTTTATTGTACGCTTTATAGGTAGTGTTATTATTTTAGATACAACAGCAAAATTAAAGTGGTAGTCGAATATAAGATGGGATTCTAGATGGGATTCTATCAATTCACTTATTCAAAATTATTCAGCTATAATTGAAGCTTTTGAAGATATTATTGCAGAAGGTGATTCACGTTCAGTTAATGCTAGAGGACTGCTTATATCTGTTAAAGAACCTATTTTTATTTGCACTCTATTTATTTTACATCAATTAATGGGACCTATTAAAATTTTATCGAATCAACTTAAAAGTGAGTCTTTCAAAATAGCATTTCTTGATTAATTATCACGGATGGATTTAGGTGGAACAATTGATTACGGTAAAGCTAGTGTTCTAATATTGTCGATCATTGATCAGATGAAAAATTTACGTAATGAAGAATCATTCAAATCGATTTACGATCAAATTATTCAATTCTGTCAAACATATGACATTGACATAAAACAAAAAAGAAAAAGATGTCGAACACGAACAATACCTGCTCGTTTTGCTAATTCAATTATAACAAGTACCGTCGGTCATCGTGACGATGATGCAAATGATGAATATCGAATTCGAACAAGCATTTATTATCCATTAATTGACGCTATTCTTATTGAATTAAACGATAGATTTTCAAATTCAAATTTAAATTTATTGACAAGTTTATCAAGTTTATATCCAGAGAATGAAAGTTTTCTGGAATTTCAATCATTACGTAAATTCGCTGACCATTTAAACTGTGATCGAAATCAATTAGAAAATGAATTAAATGTCATTAAACCGATGGTAAAAGATGACAAATTAAACTCAATTGCAGAATTGTACAAGAAATTAACATCTTATAAAAATGCATTTCCAACAGCTGTATGTATGGTTGCTGGAGCATTAACAGTTCCTGTATCTTCAACAACATGTGAACGCAGCTTCAGCAAGATGAAGCTCATCAAGACTTACACAAGAAATACGATGAGCGATACAAGATTGAGTGATATGTGCTTATTATGTATTGAAAAACATTTTGAGATAGACTTCGAAAAAGTAATCGATATTTTTTCATTGAATCATGTGGATAGTCGAATACTCTTACGATAAACTTGATTAATAAAAAATTTGAATATTTTTCTTTTCTCTTCTTGTCTATAATGCATTGTCCTAAAAAGTATATTGTACTACCTATTTCCTACCTAAACAGTTACGGGGCTGAGCCCCTCCCAGAAAATTTTCCTGGCTCCGCCACTAGGTACCGATCGATGTGATTTTGTTGTATGACAAATTGAGTTCTATGCATTCTTTGCTAAATATAGCTTGCTTTACCACAATTGACATATCTTGATCCGTCAATTGCTGATCACGCAAATCCACGGTTGAACGAAACGCATATTCAGCAATTAACGCTTCGAGTGAGGAGTTGCAATATGTATTAGTTGTTACTTTCATTTTTGCACTTTCTGATGATTTTTCGTTGGTCAACGAATCTTTCACATTCGATGTACATGTCTCACTCAAATATATTGGACGAAGTAGTGGATACGGGGGCGTAATTTCTTTCAGTTGGATTGCAAAAAGATCGGATGCTAGTTAGAGACACGAAACAACTTGAAAATTTGTTGCAGGTAAGAGTAATACTTCATCTTCTCGCTCATAGAATAAGTATCGTCGAATATCTTTGCCTGTATCATATTGAATATTAAACATAGTTCTCATTCCTGTTTTACCAAGAAATTGTTCCGACTGGAGCACTTTTACTGAACTAGTGCATGAACTGAATCCCCACCAAACGAATATTTTTTTTCCGGATAATTTTCATGGAAATCAAGTTTTATACCACGGTACACTGTTCGACCATGAATCGACGGTAATTAAGCAAGAGCAGTTAGTATAAGTTTTAAATAGAGAAACTATGGTTTAAGTCTTTCTCGATTTTTATCACGCAATGTTGTATTTAGTCGATGATAGAGACATTCATCACGAGGTTCCCATTCCATCGAATACAAACAAATCGAAGCTGACTCATCAGTTCAGAGTTCATCAGTAGGCGCTTCTCCAACATGAACTTTAGCAATCCATGTTTTGCGACGAATATCCGGCAGAATCGTGACGAGTAGTTCAACGGCTTCTTCAACGGACACCAATGGCATCTTCTCATATCCTTCAATCGGCATCAACATTTTCTGAGGCTCTCCAGCAATGTCAGAATAACGCAGTGAATGCTGTGGTAGATCATTCGATTTGTCAACATGATTCGCCGCCATTGTTAAAAGTAAATTCAAAAATATAACTTCTACTACCTATTAATGTATGAGTTCTTGTTCTAAAACCATGATCAAGACAATCGACAATGAACTTCAGAATGCAAATATTTGAAAGCGGCTAACTCAGCATTCGCAATTTCAACTAGTACTATCTACTATGAACACTAGTTCAAGTATGATAAAAGTGGACAACAGTTTATTTGTCCTCTTTGAAGTGCGTAGCTACATGTATTACATAAGTTGGTTGACTCGAAAATCGCAAACGAAATAGCACGATTTTCGTCTCGATTAATTGATATATAGTGGTGAAGCGCAAAAATTAAAACAACGCAATATATCGATGATAACTTTCCATCTTTTTTTGATGACTTATTTTCTAATTTCCTCAATTAGTTTTTGAAAATATCGTAGTTCTGTTGACTTGAAGTGACAATGTGTTTTCCTCATGCATTGAGTGTAGGACGTCTCTTTTTCTCGAGTCATATTCTTCTGATTCTGTCGAAGTTCTTAAGTAAAAGTTAGAGAAAAAAGCTGTTAAGTATGCTAAAGGAGGTTTTTCGTATGCTTTGTATTCAAAATATACATGTCGCTAGTAACGTTGTCATGCACTACCGCTCTATATAATAGAAGACGATATCTAGTTCACCATCCTTGAATGACATGCTCACACATCTAATATAAGCTACTATCTTTGGCTCATCGAGAACCAGTTATTTTATGTTTCTTTCTAGGACATTCCATAGATATATTATAATTAGGAGGTACGTTTATAATATGGATAATAGAAGTGTTCGAAAAAATCAAATTACAAAGGAGACAATAACAATTTGTGTTCTTGTGAACCAACTTGATATGTTAAATTCAAATGTTTTCTTTTCATTTGAAAATCTTTTTCTGAATTCTTGTGGGGTCTGATAATGAAATCGACTCACAATGTTAAAATATGAACTGCGTATGGCGTGCACCAAGCGAGATATCCAAATTTTTGTATATTGACAACGTGTGTAAGATACCTACAATTGAAAATTTTAGCACATTTTATTCCTCGTTTTTCGTCATGGTTGGATAGAACTCGTCGAGTTGTATTAGAAAAACTGTTTCAAATTAAAGAAAAGCTTTAAAAAAATTTTGTGAAAAAAAGTCCAAGACACCATTATCTACCAAGATAAGGAGAAATTGACCGAAAACTATGATTTTCGTAAATTTTTTCTTTAATGTGATTTTTTAATTTGGAACACAGTTTTTTATAATGCAACTCGACGAGTTCTATCTAACCATGACGAAAAAAGAAAAATAAATAGTACTGAAATTTTCAATTGTAAATATCTTACATACGCTGCTAATACAGAAAAATTTGGATATCTCGCTCGGTGCAAGCCATACACAGGTCACATTTTAAATTCATTTGTTTTTCGGTGACAGTGAGCATTTGATCTAAACATAGTCAATCGCTTTACTCAACAAACATAATAGACGAATTTCAAATCGAGAGTGATCGATTATCAAGAGGGAAAAAGCAGACTTCTGTGCTTCTCGAACTTCTTGTTACTTTTTGGTACTTTTTTGGCAATTCTTCATATTTTCACGCTCATTTAGTTTTTTTGCACTGCTTTGAATTGATATAAATGCTGGTGTTATTACATTCATTTTTAACAATCATGACTACATAACACTTTAAAAAATGTAAATAGCATAAATCGAACAGATTAAAATGAAAAATAGTAAAAATCGAGAATAAAATAGATCATAATCAATAGAAATAAATGTTATACTTCTTTAAAAAAAAATAATTAGACCGTTCTTCAGAATTTGACTGAGCTATATGGAACTCTAAATGATCAGTAGTAAAAAAAAAAGAACAGAGCATTTAATAAATGTCGAGATATTTCCAAAATACATTCATACATTTCTATAGATTTTATTATAGTTCAATATGCTTCTGTGTATTTCTTCGTGCTTTTTTGGGTTTCTGTACATTTGAAGTACGGAATCTTGCTTTCTTTCCTTGAAAAATACACTAAAAAGTTTATTTTTTATTGTGAAATACTTGCCATCAAAATTTGCCTGTAAAGATTACAAGTCAAAATTTAAATAATAAACAGCTGAGAAGAAGTACGGAAAATTTTTTAACAGAAATATTTTACGATTAAAACTAAATTTTTTCGTATATTTTTGCATGCTGATCTTGAACATTATAGTTATTTTTCATAAGAATCAACTTTTGGTATTTGGGGTCTCGAAATAATAATCGGTTTCTTTTTGTATTTTCTACAAAAATGAATTCTTTCCTGAAATATTGTTTTTTTTTTCTTTTGATAATACTAAAAATGTCTACAAATGGTTTCGTGATCTTGTATCAAGAACATAAATCTACCGGAGGGTATAGTCCATGAAAACACGCCACTTTCTTTTCTTCGTCATGAAAAGGTGAGTAATGATAGTTCGCACGAAAAGAAAGTCCCAACGTGATGACGAACGTCGCCATAACTTGGTATATGGACATTTTTTTCTCTCAAGTATATGTGGCAGGTAAAAGAAAGGAAGAGGTAGAAAAAAAATCCGTCCGTGATAAATCTCTCAATCATATAAAATGTTTTATTTATCTATCGATTTGCATTGTAAAGTTTATTATTGATCAAAGAATCTAATTATTATTAAGAAAAATGTTCGTCATAGTCGGAAGAGATCCTGATCGAAGTTATTCAATATTATTATGTTTAGGCGAAATATTTGGTTTGTTAAGTATCATATTAGTTGGTTTGTTATTTGATAGACGAGTCTCTTCTGATGTTTATAATTGGAAAACAAATCCATTTAGTTATCATCCATTAATGATGACAATTGGTTTATTATTTTGTTATGGAAATGCTATTCTTTTATATCGAACATTTAAACAAATACCAAAATTAATGGCAAAGATATTCCATGCTTGTTTTTTGATAATATCGTTAACTTTGGGTATATTGGGATTGGCTGCTATTATTCGAAGTAAAGTTATTAATAACCGACCACATTTTATGACTTTTCATTCATGGATTGGAATAGCAACAATAGGTTTATTTGTCTTTCAATGGATTTGTGGTTTTATTAGCTATTTATTTCCCAAATTAAGTTTAGATATTCGAAAAGGATATATGCCTACGTAAGAGAATTTTCTTTTTAAATTTAATTAAATCAATGTTTTATTTTAGTCATCGTCTTTGGGGAAAAATTATATTTTTATCTTCTGTTGCATCTATTTTAACAGGATTATCTGAACATGGAATGACTTCATCATTTTTTACGATGAATGATATCCAACAATCGAGACGTTTGATTATAATTTTTTTTGGCATATTTACAAGTTTATTTAGTTTGATTGTTATTTATTTACTTTCAAATTCTGATTATCAACGACCACCAGATCAAACTGATGAAAAATCAGTACCAAATCCTTGAACTCATTTATATATTTGATTTTATTATTTAATATACTTTTTATTAATCGATTCGATTTTTTTTCTGTAAAATTTTCATTTTTATTGATTTATGTATTTAAAATTCTCTAGCGATCAAATAATATTTAACAATATTGAGAAAGTGTTTTAGACGTAATTTAACGTGTCCATTCTTTTCGAAAAGTTCTATTCAAAATGCGATCTGAATTCAAATCGAACAAAATAAACTGAAATAGTTCAAGATACAAATAAGTGTTACGTTTAACGATCATTTAACTTGTTTAGTTTTCGTTAAACATGTTTTCGATTGATTTTTAATAAAATAATGATCATGTATTCAATTATTTTAATTTATTTTGAGATAACCTATATAATATTGATCTGTATTAAGAATCACGAATCTTCCTTAAGATTACAGTAAAATCTCTCTTAAGTGAATATTGTCAGGTCTTGTAAAAAGTATTCATTTATGCGTAGATGTCACCTATCTTCCTACAAAATGAAGTCAACTTTCATAAGATGATTCTTTTTTGTTAGTTCTCTAGTAATTAGCGACTGTTTTCTCCTTTATTGATCTTGTTTCATTTAAGTTATGTTTAATCGAACAAGTTTCCAACAAAAGAAAAACCTTAGCTCGATTTAAAAAAGTCCTTCATAGTTGTTCATCTTTGCTTTTTGAATCACTATAAACATGAATTCATTTTGGTTCTCGTTTGTTTGATAATCATGTAGATAAACAATCAAGTGGAATATTCGCTTTTTCAACTTATTTGCGTTGTGACGAATCATTGCCATCATTCACCTTAATAAACAATGAATAGCCAGTTTTAGTACGTTAGCCAAAAATGATGCCGAAAGAGAAAGGGGAAGTTACGTCTGTTCATTGAAGGGAGGTTATAGTAGCAATCGACACTGTGAAGACTATCTTTAATAACAATAGAACTGAGAAGGTATACAGAAAAAATTCTGACAAAAATCAGTTTATCATACATCACTCTAAACCCTCGAAGAAAAAATTTCCACTTAATAGATTGAGCATTGTTGTCGTCCGATATCGTCTTTTAAATAATGGTAATCTCAAATAGGTGAATGACTACCTTCTGAAGTTATTATATTTATACATTTTGGAGTTTATCCTTCTGATGAAAAAAAAAACGTTTAACATGCGTTCACTGTAAAAGTGACAATCGATCATCAACATGAAGAGTTTTGAATATTGACTCTGATTGTAGTCTTATTTGTGCGTAATTACTGATTAAATATCTGAAGGAATATGTTTAAGAAAGAAGCTAAATGTTTAAGGATAAATTTGATTTATTATTATTGTGTTTGATGAATAATATTTTATTCTCAAATTAATACAACAAAAAAAAAACTAGAAAGAGGTTTGAAATATTTACAAAAAAAAGAAAAGAATTAATAGTAAATTGATTAAAAAAGATTTTCTTACCTATATAATTGTGTTTGATCTTTTTTCTTTCGTTTCTTATTATCGTTGTCATATCTGTGTAGATGTTTTTAAAAGAATTCTTTTTGTATTGTTGACAAATATTTTCTTATCTCTCTTCATTTTTGTTTCGATATAAGAACTCTTTCACATATAAAAAACAAGCTATTTTCAAGGTAGCATTTTTAATAAAATAATTTCATATGATGATCTTTTTCGAAAAGATGCTATTTGTTTTTTTTCGAAAAACATTCTAATACGAGACATGAATTGAGTCCGAACTTGAGGGTATGGGTGGGTGCAGCCACGCCCACATCCTCAATATTACACAAAGTCGTCTTCTAGAAAAATTTGAAAAAACGTACAAACCGAAAACAGCTGTTAATTAGTACATGAAAGATTCATTCATCTATTGTCTCTTAAATAAAGCGTTCTGCACACATAATTTTCCAGTCCTATTTTTATTCGGATTTTTTGTTCAAGATTTGTACCAATAACTGAAAAGTGAACATGAAAAATTCAAGTTAAACTATTCCGAAGATTCCTCAATTAATGTCTATCGCGGACAACTGATGTCGGACAAAGAAACTGCAGAACTTCAACGATGTCATACTTATATCATTAAAAATAGTTTCTTTTCAACAACTTTCGATCCTTCTATAGCCACAATTTTTCTCAATCAAATGGTACAACTTGATGATGAATTACAAAATGTGCTGTTTGAAATCGAAATTGAATTTTATCGGCCTTCCTTTTATTTCACTAAACGGATTGTCAAGGATGAGGATAAACGATATTGATCGAGTCCTTTTGCAGACATTTCACAGTCTGTGATGAAAATGAGAAACTTTGGATAATTAAATTATGCTTGGAGGATGATGATTTTATAAAGAATGAAAAAGATTTTCAGAGTATGACTAACAGATGAACTTTGAAAAATTGTGTGAACACATTCATCAATGTTAATTTTCTCTTCCGTCTGTCAATCGACGATATACGTATCTGATGATTTAACAATTATTTATTCCATTCAAAAACTAATTGAATTGCCGAAAGGGTTGCTAAAGTATAATAGAACATCAAAGGACTTTCATGAAACAGCTCTGCAACAAGTTGGCATAAATTCGAATTCTATCCTTAAGATCATGAACAATGTAATCGATATATATGCTGGAGACAATGAAAATCAGCTTTATACAGCTGAACTCATTTTACAGAAACATGAATATACATTGAAATATTTTACACCGAAATTAACGGATGATCAATTTGTTGTTAAGTAGAAAAAAAGAATGACTGATAGATAAATGATAGTGGCTAATTTTTATCAAAAATTATACAAATATGAAATAGCTTATGAAAATCTTATCTTGGCAAAGGAATTATATCAAGAAATTGAAAATGAAGAGAAAACGAAAGATATTGAAAAAAAAGAATAAAAAATCTTCCACTATTAATCAATGGATTATTTTTAACCTTTGCGATAACTTTATACTACTACTACTACTCGAAATCCATCTATCCTGAAAACTTCAGAATTTTACATTCGAACATTCTTGACAAAAGCCTGAAAAGTGAGAGAGTGTATGTCTTTTAAGCATATACAATGAGAAATATTTTGCACGAAAGTATTTTTCATTTTATTTAATTTTTTTTTTCATTCTTTTGACATATTCATTAATCTGATAAATAGTAATATTGATTCAGTTCAACGCTGCCAAAAGGAAAAATTAGGTTGTAAGGATTATTCATATTGATTTTGATTATTGTATTATTAGTTAACATTTGCAATTGCTTTGTTTCTAGATTATAGTTATAATAAAAAGTATTTAATTATTTGAGTTGTAGAGTATTGGAAAGTATCAAATTATTTTATTTTTTTCTATTTTGATATTAACGGGTGAGGCAGGTATAATGGCCATGTTTTGTATATCGGCTTTCAATCTCTTAATACAATGTATTAAGGAAACATCTTATACCAAAATATGCAACGTTTCGATCAATTTTCGCACGGTCGAAATTTGCTCGCTCAAAGTTTTGCCCATTTTAAAAACACAAAAAGTGCAACTATAAAATACGCTGATCTATGTAAATTGTAGAGCTTTTCACGCTGCATCTTTTGATATAATTTGTTTTCTTAATACAACGTATGACGAGATTGAAAATTGATATATGAAACGTGACCATTGTACCTGCCATATCCATTAGAAATAAAAAAAATAAGGAGGTCATGACTGAGTGATGGTAGAGTTAGAATATCATTTTTTGATTTAGCAGTCTTCTCTTAATTTATTTTGTCAATTCATAAGATAAACCATTACTTTCGAACCTCTCTATATTATTAAAATATATAAGCTTTTTAAATTGAAATAAAATTGATATTGTCTCATATCATTTTCGTTTATGAAGAACGAAATATGAAATTGGGTGTCCAAAATATTGAGTTATTATTAAATACAAATCTCTCATCGTTTCTAGATAATTTTATTTGTATTAAGTATATAACATTGAAGTTATAACTTATCTTCATTTTTCTTTTTGTATACTTTGTGATCAATAGTGTAAATGATGTATCGACTATAAACGTTGATATTTACATAAGATCACTGTAAAAAACGTTTAGTTGTGAGACATGTGGTTTTGCTATTCGATTCAAATATTAAAATATTGTCTGAAAAAAAAACATGATGAAAGCGCAAACTCTGTTGGAATCTTCAAATAAATGAAAATTGAATGTTAAACGAGAAGTTTCTTTGCAGTCAGATGTTGCTAATATTTTTATTTTTATTTTTTTTTATTAAGAAAAACAAAGGAACAAAAAACTATTCTTGGTTATTATTAAGTTTCCTCAAGCCTTCTCTGTGGTATGAAAGTGCTACTGCCGCTAGTTTTGATATACCTTAAGTAGTTAATGGTTACCTCTATTTATTATAATATTTGTCTTTTTACAAACAACATTACCTTGTTTACTAGTTGTTTTATTAATTGAAAATAAATTTTTATTTAATATCCTGTCTAAACGGGGGTCCGGAGCTTCGCCAATAAGACTTTCGCCAATTATTGGCGAAAATCCAGAGGGCATACTAGCGAAAGTCCACTGAACTTTTGCCAATTGGCGAATTTCCAAGGGATATATTGGCGAAATTTCACTGAACTGTCGCCAATTGACGAATTTCCAGGGGACGAATTGGCGAAGGTCGAATAGATTTTCATTAATGAAGGTGGAATATTCATATGGTAAGTGGTGTACAAGAACTACGCCTAGCATTATAAAAATGTACCCCAAGTCATACAGTTATAAATACAGTTGATCAATCTCTCTAATCAACGTTACTGTTATACCTAAATTCAAGAAAGTTCATTTGAAATTCGTCAATTGACGAAAGTATAGGGAGTATATTGGCAAAAGTTCACTGGACGCTCGCCAATTGGCGAAAGTTCACTCGAAATTCACCAATTGGCGAAAGTACAAGGGGTATATTGGCGAAAGTTCACTGGACGTTCGCCAATGACGAAAGTCCAGTTTGCGAAATTCCTATTGGCGAACGTCCGGT